CGGTTTAGGGTCATTTTGAGTGTGTTTGCCCCGCCGTCACTCCCTCCCCTTTTCTTCTATCAACGTGTATGAGTAAGCTTTTAAAAATAATGAGTATTATAAATAAGTACTTAGTAGGTTTATTTCGATAAATAAGTTATATAATAATAAAGTTTTATTGCAATGTGCCAATTTCATTGGAAACACAATCATTTGATAATTGAAGTATAATGTTAAGTTATCACAAAGTTTGATGTGCCAAAAAATCCTCGACTCTTCTTCTCCCCCCAACCCAAAACCTGCTTCAGATTTGAAAACCTCTTTGGTTCCTGGGGATTTTTCCTAGAACCACTCTTTAGTAGAACTGCTCTTTTTGTGCTAGATCGCTTTCAGATCTCTCTGTTTTGGAGGTGGAGCTTCTAGATTTGGTTGGATATACAATTATTAATTGGTGCTTTTGGATCAAGTGGGGATTTGGAGATGTTGTGACATTCATTAGAATGTCCTATTGGATGCTGAGTAGTAATGCCTTCCACTTCATGGTGTTTCCTGTCCCAAGTTGTTTGAGAGATTGTTCTATGCCTTGGTCTTCTTGAAGTACTGGTTTGCTGCAGGTTTTATGGGTCCTCCTTGTTGGCGTGACTTGTGGAACTGTTGACTTACTTTTCTTACACACCAAGAATTCCTATTATAATTGTAATTGATTTACCTTAATTCCTGATTTCCTACTGTAAATAGATTTATGAATTTATTATTTACTTGCCCATTCAGGTTTCGTTGTATTATAAATATGACCTCCTACAAGGAGAAGAATACATAGAAAATTCTTACAAACAAATATTATCTCATAGTTATCATATTTTAACATGGTATCAGAGCAGCGATCTTGGGATTGCTGACTCTAGTTTCTAAACCTTAGCCGCCACCATGGGGGAGGATGACTCTTCTAATCCTCATGGCGGTAGCACCACTGCTTCCTCCTCTCCTTCTCAACCAACCATAGCCGAGTTGAGTGCCCAGGTGGCTCAACTAATGAAGATGCAGACTCAGACCTCGAACCCTATCCTAAATCAGGATCCTACCAAGACGACCCCAAACTCGACTCAGACGACGACCCTAAACTCAAATCAGATGACGACCTTGAACCCGAATCAGATGACGATTCCAACGACGATTACATATGAAGCTTGCGCTGCACATATTGACATAAAGTTGGATGGCACCAACTATGCCCTATGGTCTGATTCGGAGGCTATCAAGATGTTTAAGACCGTTTATAATTGAAGATTTTACATTTGGAGAAGTGTAGAGCCTGCAAAAATTATCAGTAAAACAGGGAATACTTATAATTGAATAATGTTGTTTGGCGATATCGAATACTTAAATTTGATGAAGCAATGCAAAATATCAAAAAATTTACAAGTTGGTTGCTCATTGTAGCAATAGCAGTAGTAGTTATATACAATGGGGGATCCAGGAATTTTCCAGAGAAGAGATATGGATTGATAGATATCTAATAGAAAATGTAATTCAAACCGGAAAAAAAAGGGTCCATGCATGGATTATACGATGAAACAAATAGACCATGCCTCTTCTATTGATTCACGAATTCACATCTATGTTTAGTGTTTTTTGATTCATGAATTTGCGTCATTTATCAGCCATTCCCATTAACTATTTATTTTTCTTCAAGGAACAATTTCTTCTATGTGTATTATATTGCTGGCCAAGAAAATGTATACGTACTTTGAATTATAGGAGTAATCCGAATTGATTGTCATTTACTTTTACGTGATAATTTAAAACATTATTTTTATTAAAGGACATTTCTAATTTTAAACCACGCGCTCGTACCTCCCGAAGAACAAAGGGATGCTTCGGAGGATAATGGATTTTCATTTGGGCATTGCAAAATAACTGGCACTACATATGCGAGGGGTACATACTTGGGCAAGGCTTGGGGGAGCAGCCCCACCGTGGTGTTTGCCTACACCGACATGGCCAATGTCTTTCATCCTGAATGATGGAACGACTTTGGCCACCCTGAACGTTCCAAGTAAGCAATTTTCATTATTTTTCTAAAATGTTTTCTTATTCTTGGATCCATTTTTTTTATTTATTTACATATATATGTGGTAATTTTTGCAGCAATATGTTCTATGGAGAGTTTCAAAATTCGGGTCTAGGGTCAAACATAAGCGGGCAAGCACGCTACACCAAAAAGCTAAGCGAAGCAGAAGCCAAATCTTTCCTCAGCCTTGGCTATATTCAGGGTTCCAAATGGCTTCTTCCTCATCTAAATACAAGATCCAGACATAGTATAGTTCAAGAATAGGAAATATATACATACATTTATAGTTTCCCTATTTCTTAGGTGAGATTGAGCAAAGAGCGCTGCCAATCCTATACGTACATACAATACATGCACACAAGTGTTGATGCTCTTTTTGGGGAGAGGGTCAACTTAGAGATAAGGGGATTGTCTTCAGCAGGAAAAAGGGGCTAGGACCTTTGGTAGGAAAAGGGGCTAGGACCTTCAGTAGCTGGGTACCCTGCAGAAGACAAAGTAGGAGAAGCAATCGTTAAGCTTCGGACACCAGTGTGGTGCCGGCCGAAGACTCTCCGATGCTTAAGTCAGCTATAAGTAGTAACTTTGGCAGAGTAACAGTAAAGGTAAGAAATTAGTTACCCTTTTTACTAGGATACTGTTCCCTATTTATAGGGAAGTGAAAGTGGGAGGTTTGTGTAGATTTCCGATGTGGGATTTTGTGCCAGTCGTTGTGGTGGTGACACGTGTCATGGAGATTAGGTTTGGCAATTGGGAGTTTCGGTAGTCGGGAGCTTCGGCAGGTGTCTGGCACCTTGGAAGAGTGTCTTCCTTCGGCAGGGGAGAAGGCGTGTCTGCCTTGGTGCTAGTTGTTTTGAGGTTGGACATGCTCGGTTGATTATGGTGTAAACACTCTTCCCAACCTTTCCACCCTTGCATATTTACACCTCCTTCTACCTTTCCCTCTGCTATTTTCACCACACCACCCCCATACATTAACGCGGACATTACCCAAATCCCTTATTCCCACATCCCCGTCACTCATCTTGTTCCCACACTTCACCTCACCCCCAACCAGCCACACACTTCCCACCACCTCTACTATACCGCCGCCCATTTTTCCCCCAAAACCCCAAAAATTGATCTCTACCGCTTTACTAAAAAGGACCCCTATGCTTGGCTGACCATCGCGAAGCGTTATTTGGACCTCCATGAGATTCCCCATCATTTACATGTGAAATTCGTGGCCGTACACATGATTGATGATGCCGCGCTTTGGATAGGCCATCCACGGCTTTTATGGAGCCTGTTTTGCGCAAGATAGGGCTAGGTAAGGGCTAGACACAACAAGTTACGGTTTGGGCCTAAGCCCGTGATTTGTCTCAAGTCTCCCCTTTTTAGAGCTGGTTAAGGTGTAGAGCTGGGGTTTATAAGGCTTCGGCAAGCAGTGGGGTCTGGCGATATGGGGTTGAGCCCAAGATGGGCTTTTGGCAAGGGCCAAAATTTTGAGAGACCACGTGAGCTGGGCTTTCGGCAAGGGTCCATAAATTGTGAGATAAGTGCTAGGGTTTGGAGGTGAGGGGTGCAAGTCTAGCATCGTCTATTTAGTTAGGGCTAGGATTTGGCTTCGGCAAGGGTGAAGGTGTAAAGTGAGGGAGCTTGGCTTCAGCAAGGGTGGAGGTGTAACGTGAGCCTCCGATTGGTTTTGGCATCCTGAATTTTGGAAGCGTGCTCTTGCCGTTCGGCAAGGGAGCCAGGTTCTTGTACGAGAGTCTTCGGTTTGCAGGAGACCTTGGCATCGGGTCTGGGAGCTAGGGCTTCGGCAAGGCTGGGTTTTGAGTTCGGAGGGAGGCCATATAGATTCCGCACGACCCTTGCCGTTCGACAAGGGTTTTGTTTAAAAGTTTCGACGGCTGGGCTTCGGTGGTGTGACGGCTGAGCCGTGTCTTTCTTTTCTTTAGCCGTGACTTTTTAAATTGTCGAGTCTTGGAGATTCGAATTGGCCATTGAAGCTGGGTTTAGCAAGGGCAGATTCGGCAAGGAGATTGAGCCCTTGGGCTTTTGTCAAACCTTGGACTTGAACGGCTTGTGAGCTGGGCTATTCGTAGGGGCTGGGCCATAGGTGTATTTGTTGGGGCTGCGCCGTGGGTGTTTAGTCCCCCTGATGTTTCAGCTGGAGTGGATTTGGAGCTAGAACATCGGCACGGCTGGAGTAGGTAATTTCGTGTGCCTTGTTTTTGTAGCTTCCTATTTTTGTTTGTGCACGGCCCTTGCCGTTCGGTAAGGGTGGCCTCTGTAC